CCGGCATGAAATCATAACTCAAACAATAAATAAGTCCCCTAGAGGCTGGATTTCTTTCGGTGAAGGCAGCAGCAGCTTGTCAAGCATAAAAACAGAGGGTGCTAAGAGTACCCCGGTTACGGATCAGGGTTGCCGGGGTTACTAACGCACGCTGGTAACGTACAAATGCAAATCACTTATAGATGAAGCAAGGCTTCGACAAGTGAAAGAACTTATAAATATCTTAATAGTAGACATTTACTTTTTAGCTGTAAGACGCAGACGCCGAAGTACGTTTCCTCCCTGGCAACACTTTCTGCATGTGCATTTATTTCTCAACTTGACGTTTAATGACTGAACGTACTTTAAACTGTACACTGTTCATCAGACGATCTCCACTGATTTATGGTTGAACCTAAACAAACAAGCCGACTGTGTGTACAAAAAGCGTTTTCGAAACATATATGCATATCCGCAGAGTTGGGCGGAAATTCGCAAAGCCGAAAAAAATTTTATTAAAAATAGAATATTCCTGCATAAAACATGTATGTAATATAAAATATGTAAGATAAAATAAGTTGCGTCAAACGCAGTAATTATAGCAGAGGGTGAAAATACAGAATAAGACAGATGGTGCTGAGTCCAAGAATGAAAAATATTAACTTCGGCAGTTTCTGACGTTGGTCTTCTTCCAACTCATGGGGCAGAATCTCGAAGGCGACGATGTAAAAGAACGTACCACAGGCTGTGCCCTGCAAAAAGCCGCTAACGAGTCTGCTGGCCGAACTGCGCACCGCGTCGACTACTGTCACGCCGATGAAGCCGCCGACGGCGCCAGACAGCGCGAAGCATAAGCAGCAGGTGACGTACAGGACGGTGGTCACCTGACAGCTAGCCAGGTTCAGACCGAGGCTGACGGATATGATTCCCTTGTGTATGCACAACGCGGCAAATATCTGCAGTGCCAGAGAGTACTGAGTGACAAGGCCGAGAGCCAATCCCTCGAAAAGCGCGTGAAGAGACAAGGACACAACGAGTAGACCAACGCGCAGCAGAGACGACGAGGTTGGCCTCGGTTTGTGAAATAAGGACGACTGTGATTCGGACAGAGGTGGACATTGGTCATCGGCGGCAACAATGGACGACGAAGACGAAGACAACTGCACCCTGGTCACTTCCAAGACATATCTGAAGTGCAAAATAATCTGTTCGGTACACAGCACCACGCAGAAACCCATGACAACGAAAAACTCCGCTAACGGAAACTCGACATTGCGGTAGCCGGCGATTTTTAACCCCTCGCCTATCTCTTCTCTGGTATCCGGCAACAAGTCCAGCAGGCCGGTAGCCAGGAAAACGCCTCCTCCGTAACACGATGCCAATCCCATTACGGTTCTGAGTGCATTTCGAACGCGTATCGACCGCGCGCGCGACGCGACGCAACGCAGAACTATAGGAACCAAGCTACACACAACGCTGACCACCAGCAGCACACAAATCAGAATAATTTTCAAGACTCCTACAGAGATATGTGTCCAACTCTCGGTAGCCCCTTCTGGCTGCACCTGTCCCAGAATCTCCTTCACTATGTACACGAACATGGCTGAAGGCCATAACAGATGAGCACTAACTTCCCTGAGTACTGAAGCACTGAAGTTCTTTTATGATAAGTAGGT